TTGAATCATTCAATTTATTGGCTTAATCAATTCGTTATTAATTGATTTGATACCATACTCGCTAATCGTTAACGGCTCGTTAATCTTAAACGACCCAATGTTCGCATCTTGTCAACGGAATATAAATTTCTTCTTGCTCTTCGTCTTGCAGTTTACTCAAGGATCTATGAGTACTTAAAATTACTTAATTTAATAGCATAATCAAAGTATTTTAATGAATATTCAAATATTCCTAAGACGATCACGCGTAGATTACAACGGTAGACCAACTTCGTGGATTTCCATTATTGATCTTCGTGTTATTTCTTCGCGAACATATCGAATAGCCGGCCTTTAATGGTTTAAAACTCGAAAAGAACAAAGCGATAGCGGGAAGCATTCCCGCAGCAGCTTCCGCGTCGAGCGGCACCGCTCGCCTGGGCGTTAAAGTCTCCGCGCGGTTGAACCAGCGACCTCAACGCACTCCGCGACTCGAGACAATGCCGAACGTCGTTCGGGTTCTCTTCGCTTTCTGGAGTCCCCCCCCCCTCCCCCCCCTTCGTGTTGCGCCTTCGTATACGCCTGTTCCATTCATCGCGGAATTCCAGTCGGCGATTGCGACCGCCATCGATGGTTTTCCGGAGTAGATACGTGCCCAACGTTGCCGGCCGCAGTTACACCGGACGCTACCTGCGCCGAGAATGGCCCATAAACACCATTACGGCTAGCGGGGGCAACTTATAGCGCACTTTACCGGACTTATGACGCGGCCACGCTTGAATTAGGTACTCGTTACCAGTATTACGTTTCAACCACCTCGTTTCAGGCACGCGGTGCCTTCGTCGGGCACTCCGGCGCGTTAAATGCAACCCCTTCGCGCGTGAAATCTCGCGCGTGAATCGTGCATGGGAAATGGGAGAGAAGATCGTCGCTTTTTGTTTTTGATGGCAACTGATTATCGCGAAACATTTGATGTATTGAAATTTCGTGAATAATAACTCATAATTTCTATCTTATACGCTCCATTGGATTTTATTGAATCTTGATCTTATTGGAAGTAGGATGTACTTTAGAAAGTCTAGAGATTAATAAATCCAATCATTATACATACAAAAACCATTTATTGTGTATAAAGTGTACGCATGTACGGATTCTGCCAAGCAGACTGAAGACAGGTTTGAATAATTATCGGTATAATTCAAAGTTAATTATTATATCGATAACTTGATATACACGCGCGCGCGCGCGCGCGCTGGAAGGAAGTTCAGATATTATCGGCCCGTGACCTCGTGGCACTTTAAGGAATCGATGTAGCGAGGCAAGAATTGCACGGCAAGACTGAGAGATGTAGCGAGGCCGCTCATGGGCAACGCGAGGCGATAGCCCGATAATTTTAATAGCATTCTCAATTAATTACGGACAAGCAGAGCGACGGGGTCACGAAACACGTCGACCTCGTATCCGAGGATACGCATTGGAAATTGGGATGACGAAACGGTTTGCAATATAATGAATCTTCGATGATCCGTTCATGCCCGTTTTAAAATCGTAATACGTGAGTAAAATAATTGAGTGACGTATAGTATTCCATTTATATTTTGTTCCTCCTCCACCTCCTCTTGACGTCGTCCTTTTCATATTCCACCTCGATACATCAAAATTGACTCTCGAGTTGCTCAATATCGACAGATCGGCGTGCTTCTCTAATAATTTCTACTGCATGTTAGTCTCTTCCGTTCGATTTTGCAATTAGTCTGCAATTGCCGCTGCGCCAGAACTCGCGTCACTTCTCTTCGCTCTGTCGTCCTCCGTCGCGTCCGCAGAAGAGCTTCGAACTTCTCTCTGTGTAAATGCCGCCGTCGCGGTGAGATCGCTTATGCGACTAGACGGGACGACTTTAAGTCTTATAGCTCCACCGAGAGTGCCTCGATACCGTGGACTAGTCGCAGACCCGGCGGACGGTCTGCAACGCGCGCGCGCGTAACGCGACGTGGCTTATTGCCAATGCATTTTAAGTAGTCTACTATACGGTACCTCTTTCTTTCTCCTTCTCTCTTTCTCTCTCTGTCGTTCCCCGAGAGTGCATTGTGCACCTGTGTACCCGCCGCGACATTGCATTGGACGTGTTTTATCTTCGCTTACAGCGAGCGCGTATACACGCGTGCGTGCTCGCACGAAGGAGCGTGTACACGTGCAGGCCGCCGAGCGCGTCGCTGAGCGGTCGCCGCGAGGCCACTATTGCGGTTTGCGCAAGGGAAGCAGGACCTCCGAACCCGTTCCAGCGCCGTATCGCGATCCACGAGCGACGATCGTGAAGCCGTCGACGAGACCTACGAAAGTGGTGAACGGCGATGGAACACGGAGGAAAAGCACGAGGCAGCGCGCTGACGATGTGCAAATCGCCTCGTTGATTGAGTCATTTCGCGGGCGATCATTCTCGCGGATATCGTGCGGCGGAATCTCTGACTTTGAGAACGCATTGTATGGTAACCAATGTAGAATAACTGTACCGTACCATTTTTTTTTTTGGCGACATTTATTTTCGTCGCGGAAACAGTTCATTGACCTCGTATATTTAAGAAGTATACGTACATTTTGATATTTATAAGAAACACGACCAAAACAGTTACATCTTTAATTATAATACCTGTTGAATGTTATTAAACAATTTTTATAATTCTTTATATTTATTTTAATTTGGTTTTGTAATAACTACTCTGTTTTTTTTTATCTGAAAAATATATTTTTTTGGTAAAAGAGACGTTACATCACGCACAAAGAGAATGACATTTTGATTAAGAGCACTCTTTCCGAGATACATATATGTATATACATATATATATCTCGTGACTGCATCTAAGAATTGATACTATGGCAAGGCTTCTAATACGTGACGCAACGAGACCGTTCTCCGAGCAGCGAGAGCGCGTTTTATTCACGTCGCCATAGGAATCCGCGCTACCGGGGGGTCGTGAGCTCATATTTCTCGAGCATTATGTCTCGACAGCGTGTACGCGCTCTCGTGTGTCGGGCGTAAGTAGGTAAATACCTCGACTACCGGGCAACGTAAAGGCAAGGAGGATCGCGAGCACACAGCCGACTCGACTCGGGCGCATCGGGCCGACACACAAAAGACGTCGGCCGGGCCCCTAAAGCACGCTGGAAATTGTCAGAACATAAACGCTCCCACTGTGAGGACCACAATGATCGCCGCACGACTTCCGTAACTCCTTCGTATCGCCACCGATGCCGCGTGTTCGCTATTTATATGGGCTTTCGGATGCCATTGTGAGTGCCCTCGGTGCTTAATCATTGCGTTTATCAAATTTCTATCGCGCGCAGATGGACACGTTGGAGATTTTTCTCGAAGTTGATCTAAAATCCGTAGGTCTTTCTGGAATGCCTCGTGAGTTCTTATAAGATAAGTTGCTTTATCTTTATTATCCAATACATTTCTCTTAGCAATATCGGATCTAATTATCATTTTGTGTATAGCGAACGTCAGAATATACTTTGTTGCATAACGGTTCATCTCATAATTCATAGATCCGTGTAACTATCAGAAAAATTTCACAACAGCAGATTTACATGCGCGAAAGGACAGTAAGATGTCACGAGGCTCACGACGATGAATTTCTCATTCTTCCTCGTTCAATCCGATAAATCATTCGTCTTATTAGAGACTTTTCGATGCGAGAACTGCACGCGGGACTTTATTTATTCATTTGCCTCACGTTGGTGTTAGACAGTTCCTTCTCTCGTTTCGTCGTCCGTTGGGTGGTGACGGATCGCGGCGATAGAGCGAGCGTACGCCAATAAACAAGATTTCGAACGGCGAGAAATGGCCCGACGTTGGAAAGGGCTCGGCTCGGCGCGGCGCGGCGCGGCGTGGCGCTGCGCCGACGGGGTTCAGGGTCGGTGACGGTAATTGAGAATGTCGAATGCGAATCTCAATCAGTGTCGCGCGCGCCGTGATTTATTTATCAATTAAAAACCATCCACCTTTGGGCCGCGCGCGGGTCGCGCGTTCTCCTCCCCGTCCCGCGATCATCGCTCGCTCCCTCGCCCGCTCGCTCGCCCGCTACAACACGGACCCGCATCAGCAGGAAGCCAGTTGTTAAAATGGCACGTGAATTTTACGACTCGCGCGTATAGCGCTATAAAATAATCGTAATCTTTGGATAATGCGCGCTTATGCATTGCCGACCGGCAGCCGGCACGCCATGTTCGGCCCGCGGACCGGGATCGTCGCGCCGTCAATGTTAGCGGCCCAACCACTGACAAAGTAACGCGCGCGTACCCTCGCGCGCGCGCGCACGCGAGCGCCGAAGAAATCTGATGTAAAAGGCAAACGCGATCCGCATATTCACCATAAACGCCTTATTACGACCCGCGCGTCACGTCGCCCCGGAGACGCGCGAGACTCGCGCGTATGTCAACGTAAATAAGTTGACGTGTGAGATAGATGCCCCGCGCGAACGGCGCTTTTGCCGGCGCGTTCAGGCGCGTCGTCCCGGCTTGAGAGCAAGCGAGCTCGCCGCTAATCACCGAGATCATTAATAATCGGTAATTGCGCGAATCAATTGAGAAAAATTAAGACCGATTTGCGCGGCCGGTCGACTGGACATCTTGCCAGCGAGCGTGTAGTGACCCGTCCCGTATCTTCGATTTATCGGGGCGTCATTGATCGAGCTCCGATGCGCGTCATCTCATAAAGGCACTTAATTAACTTTCGTCTTTAATTGGTATACGAAGTGAAAAGCAGAAACAGAGAGGAAAAACAAAGGGAGAGAGCAGAAGTGCAAGTCTTCAGATTGAAAATGTTCCTTCCTGTCTCTCGCAACCTTTTATTAAGGTTCTACGCGTAGAAATAGTTAAATAAATATTGGATAATATTTTTTTGCGTACAATATAACGATAACATAGAGATGATTTTAAATATTTGCGATTAATAAATCTTATACTTTCGGAAGAACGAAAGAAAATTATTTATTGTCGTTTTTGTTGCTTCCTTTTTTTAGGAGAAACCACAGTGTAACCTGGATCTAGGATGTCCTGAGGACGAGCCTGTGATAATTTGCAGTAAGGTAAGAAAGCCCTATCCGCGCGGCGCGGCGGTATCATTGCGACGCTAATAATCGACATAATACCCTACCGTTTCCCTACAATTAGATACGTGATATACGCATACATAAATGTAATACGTTCCCCATGCGCGCGGGGACGTTATCCTTTATGACTCGACGGGTAAATCCATAAAACGGCGCACAGAAAGTCAGGTTTATCCTATTCTCCAGTTAACGCGTATACGGCGGTGTCAACTGGGAAACAGAAGATACGACGAGGTCAGGGAGTAACGGCCGCTTACATTTGCACGGTGCACGTAACGTTCCCCTGTTAAAGAGTGTTCTGCCACGACCCCCCAGGTGCACGTCGATTTCTGAAAGTCCGCTTAATTTCCCAGGAAGGAATTCTTGGATGCGGCAAACGCGCAAACGCGAAATGGCCGGCCGAAGTACCGCGGCCGGCCGGCCGGTCGGGGCATAAGCGCGGCGACACGATGGGTTTATCGGAAAAAAAATTTACGAGATAAAAACCGTCATCCGTTATCGGACCGTTAAAGCAAAAGGAGGAGACGAGGAGTGTTTTCCTCTAATGACGCGCGACGGCCGGCGTTAAAACGAAAATGCCGCGACGTATGGCGATATGTCGCGAGTTGGATGTCGACGATAAGCTAAGAACGAAATCCGCTTTAAAACTTTATCGCTTCCATCTAGAAGAATATCTAGCCAGTTTCCGAAAGTGCCATCAATAATAAACGCGAGTCTCTTCGGAAAACAGAAATGATGTTAGAATTATTCTCATATTACCGATCCATAATTATTTATCTTTTAAAAACTCATTTAATGATAAAATATTATTTAAAGATAAAATCTAATGTTCAATAACAATAAATATCGAGGTTTGCGATGCAGCAATTATACAGGATCTATATACGAATGTAATATACGAAAGAGCTACACACATAAAGCAACTTGAATCGATTACAGACCTATAGGGGAGAAGTCGGTGAGAAGATGTAAGGGAAATAGTCGTAAAAGTATTTACATCTGCGCCGCGAATACGTCGGATGCGCTGAGGAGCTCGAAGGTTTAAGAAGCCCCGAGACTCATCGGGATGCCGAGGCGGACCCCGATACATGTAGCAAAGGTCGGGCCAGCACTAAACGCCAGACAATGCCAGTCGGCACCCTTTATACTCCTCTCTCGATCGGGCAACGCAAGGATCGACAACGGAGCCGACGTGAGATTCCGCGAGCCTCCGTTCAAAATCAGACGTTTATCTCGCGCCCCGATGAAAGATATTCGCGTAAAGTGGATCGGGCAGATCCGCTAATCGGGAGAACGTTTTTCTTTTCCTCGTGATTCCGCCTGCCGAAGCAGGCGTAGGAAGCGTCGCGCCATGCCGCCCGCAATCTCTCGCACGAATCGCGAAATACCGCGCTAACAAACGCCCGCTGACCGCTCGTGAAACTAACGGAGTAACTAATTACTGTCTGGAAGTTTATTTATGCACTGCGAAGGTTTCGCGTAACACTGTCGCGCGAATCGAAGAGTAAATTTTCCGGAGGACAAGTTGAGGATACTTAGGCCGCGCGTCTTCGCCGCGTCGCAGCCTCTTCGCTCTTAAATTCGTGGTTCTTTAAAAACTTTAGCAAGAGAGAAATGCGCTTTCCATACGATTTCCACGAAGTGCCACGCGTAAAAAGCTGGGTGTATATAACAACTTTTTCCTATTTTTTCTAAAATAAATTGATTTAACATTTCTGCGATAGAGCTAAATATTCTTGTCCTCACGTGAATGTGATTTATGATCTCTCTCATATTTACGATCACTCATATTATCTCCATAACTTTGGGAAATTATTATTCACATAATTTTCCTACGCGTTTAATTACGTTTGCCGGACTTTAAGCTTGTTAAAGCTAAAAACAAATTTGTTATTACAAATTATTATCTCCGATGTTCCTTCAAAACGCGCCTGTTAAATACGGGTATGTACGTGTATAAGTGCGCATTCTCCATCTTATAAAAAAATCGAGGACCACGCATTCCTTCGCAACGGCAAGATGAAGCATCTCCCCCTCGCGCGATTCTTTCGCTCGCATCTCGCCGCCTTACGCGCGATCGGCGCTCCTTATCCTCTTCGCCTTTCCGAAAATGTAACGAGATCTCCGTCACGCCCATCGCGCTGCGCGCGCGCGGGACCCCTTTATCTTAATATAATCCGGATCGGAAACTCACGCGAGAGCCGATGCCCGGCACTACGCGCCGCGCCGCGCCGCTTTCAAGTGCGCCGCTCGCAGTAAAATCGCGGCTCGAGCGTCCTTATCTCGGCGGATCGCGGATGACCCACGACCCCTGCTCGTCGCCTATTGGCGGTACATCGCGTGTCTCTCGCCGGTCGAGCACCTATTGTCCGCACGGAAGTCGCAGCTATCCTCGATTTTCGTCGACAGAGAGATCGATCGCGTTGTGCGATCGCCACGGCCGATTCTCTTGATGGCACTGAAGATCGTCTCGATGAGGAGAGATTGTCGAGTTAACCGTATGGTTTCGCGAAAATGAGCGTCTTCGAAAGCCGCCGATTCGACAGAGAGGGACAATAATTGATCGTCGGGAAGTCGGTATAAATCGATGGGCCTTTAGCACGAAACCCGACGAATATCCGCGGATAGATAGATATCGCTGCTCATGGTTTGACGATTCCCGGTGCGAGTGCGAGTTTTCAATCCGATCTCCCATCCGTCCCAGGAATTAACGCGCGCGCCGATCGTGCCCTCCGCCTGGTATTAATTTATGCCCCGCGATACCGTGTATAAATTACAAGAGCCGGATTCCCGCCGTCTACACGCATGTCGCTTCGTTTCACTGCGGTGAAACGCGCTCTATCCGAGCGTTACAAGATAGAAGATTGTGAACGAAATGGAGCGATGAATTTCGCGCGTCAAATTCTTCAAGCATAAAATTAATATCTTATTAGTATTACAACAATTTTATTACCAGCCATTAATTTAACAATTGCGATTCATCATCAAGTGCATTAAATTTGCAAAAAAAACTTATAATAATTTGCATAAAAATAATTACAATCACACGTTACAGCGTACACATTATTTCTGTCGCATAAAAATCGCTCACGGAAAAATATCATGGGAACATCAACCTCGCGAGATTAAGAGGACGCGGAGACGGAAGGGGAGAAATGAAATTTGCGCGAATTCGCGAGTAACTCTCTCGCGCGCGCGCGCGACTCGCTCATGCAAATCGCCGAGGACCGTTAACGGCCGGCACTAAATCTTTAACGGCCCCGGCGTGCCTCTCCCAGAGCACTAACTCATAAGTCGTGAGAGTTAGTGCTCGACGTACGCGAGCGGATTGGAGCGGAGCGGAGCGGCGAGGGGCAAAAACAAACCTCCGTTACCAAATGAACTCAAGCGCGCTCCTCGTCGACGAATTTATCGCCCTCGTTGCGACGCGCGCCAAACCTCGTAATTCATATTCGCCTCAAAATTTCTCGTTATCACCGTCGCGCACTTTCACGCTCGTAAATTTTCATCCGTGCCTTTTCGAGTAATCGCCGCGAAGCACGAGCGTAATAAATATCATTAGATACCGTTAACGATAATTGCTGATGTCCGTGGATCACGAGCGATTCGCGAGTGATATCGCGCCGATCCTACTATTGTTATTTCTCTCCGTTAGATGCATCTCCGTTCTCTTCATTGTATAAGAATAATTAGAAAGTCTATTAAGCCTATTTTTCACATGAATGGATCTTTAATTGATTTTGTTTCGTGTACAAATTTGTTTAACGAAAATTTTGTTTTCTAAATTTTTTTAATGTAAGTACATGCATATATTCTGCTTTGCAGTTTTAAGAAATTGATAACAGAGTATAAAACTCCATTAATAAACAATTCCATTTAAAATAAACAAATATATTAGTGGAAAAAAAATATCTTTTAAATATTTATATAAATCTGGTATTTAATTATTAATTAATATAGTAATTCCATTTTAGATTAGAAGGATATAAAGGGGTCAGCAGATTTTCTTTAGTTTGATTCGTTCATAAGTTCAAATTTTGGCGAAAACATCCGCATTTCATCGACGCGCCCGCTTGAAATCCCATCTTGAAATCTAGTGAAGCCCGGACGATCGACCGACGATTCGTGGGGATCGCTCGGATAACGCCATGGCGGTATAGTATGTCGGAAATTATAGGGTGTTATCCGCGTTGCACGGCGCGCGCGAGAGAGGATATGCGATTCAACGAAGATAGTGCTGTTCGACCTGCGCAGTTGGTCCGGGATATCGCAGCGAGGGAGAACGGGGCAGGGTGCGGTGCACACGTTTATAAGGTCGATTTTAATAGGGGTTTGGTTACAATTATGAGGCACTGTAATGGAGCCCGGCACTCATTACCTCGCTAAACTGGAACTAATTATTATGTTTCACGGCGCGTTGCGAAAATTCCGAAGCATCACCTAAACCGAGTGCGTTGGAGGACGAAGGGAAAGACAAAGGGGCTCATCCTTGAATATTTCACGAACGCGTGCCATTAAAAAAAAATGCAAAATGTATTGTTAGCAACGTTTAGTCTGAAATTTTAGAAAATAGTAATGGAAATAAAATCGCGATTTATATCTTTTTTTTTCCTGTAGATTGATTATTAATGCGTCTATTTTTCAAAGTCAGAAATTGATATATATTGATAATTGCTATATACAATTAATATTAACGTCCATATCTGTTTCGTTCGTTTGCGCGTCGCGCTTAAGCCATGAATCTCCGGGAGTGTGCGTTTTAAGACAAATAAGCTAGGTGTATCGCGAGGACAAAGGCCACGGAGAGGTCTTCGAATGATTCTCCACGTGGGGGCCAGATCCGGTGGATGCCACGCTCGAAAGAGCCGCTGAGTGTGTGAACGTATTAACACCTCGAAGGATTTATGGTATCGAGAACTGAGAGCTCTCTCTCTGTCTCTTTCCTGCGATGAGAAGAAGAAAGCGAGAGAGGAGGA